AAAAAATTAAAAAATTATTTTATAAATTTATTTTATAATATAAATTATACCCGATTCTACCTTGAATTGGAACGGCCTTTGCCCTCTTCTAAATGGCTAGTTTAATACAAGTCTAATTTGCAAAAACAGGTTAAAAAAAAAAAAATCTCTGATCTTATAATCCTTGTGCTTCTCTCAATCCACATGTCCATGGAGTTTGAGGTGATGCATGTAGCTGGAATACAGGACTGCTTCGTATCGCTCCCTCTTTTCCTAATCCAAACGCTTCAGTCTACGAGTTCTTTACGTGGGCAAATGTACCAATACCCATACTTTGGTACCAGGTTCGGGATATATTTTCAAAGGCAGCTGCTGCAGCACCGTGTCTCCTCTTTTTTGATGAATTTGATTCCATTGCCCCTAAAAGAAGGCATGATAATACTGGAGTAACTGATCGAGTTGTTAATCAAGTTGGTATCCCTTTTCTTCTTAATCCATCTTATTTTCTGTCTTACTTGCTGTCTCATTATTATTTGTTTTAAAACAGTTCCTAACTTGAGTTGGGTGGTGTTGTAGTTTTAACTGCTGTGTTTGTGTTTGCTGCAACGAGGTAAGTTTTTCTTGAAAGTCATGTTATATCATTTTCTCCTCTTTCATAATTTAGTCAATTCTGTTGGAAGAGCTTCTGTTTCCGCAATCCTTATTAGAGACCAATTAGGACTCATTCCTGAATCTCATCAGACTTCTCTTCTCAACCTCTTAGCAAATTATTTTAGCCAAATATTTTATTCAGTGGTATAGTTCCTTGTCTAACTTTTTTTTTTGAAAGGCAAAAAAATATTAATATATTTATTTGATGAGTACAAGGGTACTCAAACCCGTGTATACAAAAACCAACTTGTTGCTTGAAAAACTAGCAACACTAAAGCAGCGAGGATAGAACACCCAACAAAGAAAATAAAACCATAATGTCTAACTGCTTGAACAAATGCTTGTATCTATCTTTTCAGCGTCCCACTTATTGAACATGTGCCGTATGGTTGTTAAAGGTTGTTAACTTTCAGAACTAGTTGATAGTCTTCTCATGTAAGTTCTCTTTCCCATAATGTTGGAAAGGAAATGATAATTAGACTCCTAGATAATGTTTTATTGTTGCAGTGATTGACAATTTAATATTAGATTACTCTTAAACAACTATGTAATTAGGAAATTGATTTTTAAAGAGATGCTTAACCAAAACTAAAGTCAGCATAACTTCTAAAATGATATGGGAAAATTGATGAGAAATTCACATGAATGATCATGGGTTTTAGTTTTCATTTTTTTCTCAGCTTGACTGGATATTTAACTTCTTGTCATTTAAGGACACTTTTTCTGCTTAGTTGTTTGTCTTTGATGAAATTGAAATGGAACTCTTTTTTGAAAGCAGTAGACCAGATCTACTTGATGCGGCATTGTTGGGACCAGGGAGGCTTGATTGGCTTCTCTTTTGTGATTTTCCATCTCAAGCATGAAAGGCTAGATATTCTAACAGTTCTCTCTAGGAAGGTTAGTGATGCTTGTAATTATGCCACTCATGTTTCTCGTACTCCTTTTCACCATAAATCCATATTTATATTCTTCCCTTAAGTTCATGAATTTTCTTCTACAAGGAATTTCAACCTTGTTATGTGCTTAGCAAAATTACTTTCCTTTTGTACTGACAAATGCAGCTACCATTGGTCGGTGATGTCGATTTAGACACCATAGCAAACATGACAGAAGGATTCGGTGGAGCTGATCTCCAGGCTCTTCTCTCAGGTGCACAACTTGCCGTGGTCCATAAACATTTGAACAGAAAAAATAGCAATGAGACTGGAAAACTGCTATTGATAACTGATGCTCTGTTGAAGTCCACTGCTTCCAAGGCAAGACCTTCAGTTTCTGAGTCTGAGAAACAGAGACTCTATGGCATCTATAGCCAGTTTTTGGATTCAAAGAGATTCGTTGCTGCGCGGTATTCTCTTTACAAGCAACACCATATAGTCTTTTATCATTACTTTTGACAGCATATTGTCACTGACACACAAATTTTCATGCAGTCAAGGGATGCAAAAGGCAAGCAGGCAACTCTGGCATGATCTGGAATTAACCCAATTTGTACAATACAAAAAGCTACTCTATTTTTCTTCTTTTTAAAAATTCATATTGGTTATCTATTCCAGGAAATTATACAAGTAAAAATATGGATAAAATCTTCATATTATATGAAATAAATTTCATCTGAAGATTTATTGGGAATACCATGTAGCCGGAGAGAGCTTGTTTCTTTTTTCTCTTTCAAACATATTTGCCTTCTATCCCAAAAATCTGAAGCAAACTATTAAAGAAACAGAAATGTCTTTATC